AAGAGACATTAAAGGAGGGAAACAATAAGTCTAAAATGCATCCCCTCCAGCAGCCAACATTCAGATAAGTAGGGATCAGCATCAGACAATCAGGCAGAAAACAATATGTCAAGGAACCACCAAGGAGGAAACTACACCCCCCACCAAAACTGGCAGGGAAAGCTACTGCATATAAACAGGCAACAATACTCACTCACACTGATGATGTTACCTAGTTGGGTAATGAAATGTCTGCAAGCAAACAACTAAGCTCAGAGAATACCAAGGATCCCACAAATATGACAATGATCAAACTGTCTCCCGCTTATATAAGGGGGACATCATTTGGCTCAATTCTGATCCATACTCACATTTGTAAACAAAAAGATCTTTGTAAATAAAAGGAACAACCTACTGATACAGTGCTTTTTAAATTAGTATGCTTGTTAAGTTCTTGTGGACTGAATTTAGACTGGTTGCAAGTGATGCATCTCATTGTGAGACTTGGAAAGGTCACTTTCACCTAGATTTCTGTATCTACTAAATGGGAAGAAATGAAGTCTCACAATCTATTTGAAGCCAAAACATCATAAAAGAAAAAATAATTAATATAGGTAAGGTGCTGTGTAAATAATAATATTGACTTGTCCATGCAACTGTGTTATTTGAGTAGTTATGTATTTGGCCTCTCCGAAAAGTAGGTAGATCAGGACGAAAATTACATTTGGTTTAGTGTAATTTACATGTGATTAATTACATAAAGTTAACTCTAACCTGGGGCTGGGGGTGGGGGAGGTTGCAATTGTCACTTCCTGATATGGTGGTATTTAAGAACTTCTCAATATTTTGTAATATAGGTATCTCAGATGAATACATAACGCCTATGTTCCATTTCTATAAAAGTACTGGGGAACTCAAGATGACACAAGAAGAATATGCTCTGCTTACAGCAATAGTTATCTTATCACCAGGTAATGTTACTTTCTCAATTGTTTTAGAACAGGCTTTCAAACTGTTTCAAGCCGCAGAACCCCAGGGTGGAACAATTTGAAAAACCCTGTTCTAGAATATCAATATTGAATTATGTTACAGAATTTGAGGAAAAAAGGAAAGAGGCATGAAAAGGATAACATACTAATTTCTCATGTAAAAACAGTAACTGAAGAAATATTTGGCCAATACATTTCAATAACAAAGTAGTGAAAGCTTGCAGAGCGTGGCTTGTGGAATTTTCCATTCTCTTTACCAGCAGAGGCCACAGGAAACATGTTGCATCTCTCTCTGTGTATATATACCTGTAAGGGTCAAATCAGGGCAGATACATGTGTCTTCTGTGTCTGTGTGCAAAAGATGATTTAATCAGGGTGAGTGCATATCTGTTGCCTATGTGCTTCAGCTCTCTCCACATGCACATGTGTGCACATGGGAAAGATAGGGTGGACTGCATGTGCTCCTTCCTGTACACACAATGAGGGGGGCTCAGAATGGAGCAGTCAGAAGCATTCCAAGCTGCTGCTCGAAGACCTCACCCCAGAGATGCATGGCGCCCTTTTGGGGGAAAGGGTTTCTCTGCAGCCCCCTTCCCCCCTGCCTAGATCTGGCCCATTTTTAAATTCATCTTTCACCAGCTTCTGTCATACCAAACACGATCCAAATGTGTACTTTTGTGAACAAGATTTTCTTCTAACATTCTTCTATATTGAAAAGGAACTTGTAAAATGTTACTCTGTGTAGGAATACAAATACTGAGGTACAATTGTTTAATCTTAGACATTTCTGTATTAAATGCTTCAAATGACCTGATTTAAATTCAAAACAAAAGACAAATTACGTGTTACATTAGACTCCAACCACCAGGGTTTGTATCTGGAGTTCTGGTGCAGGTGGGAGAAGATTCAACCTTTTCCCTCCACACTATAGCTCCAACAAAAAACCTAGCAGGTATTTAAGCTCTTATTTTTCCCTGGAGTAAAGTTATGGCCAACCATGTCAAACACATAGATATACTGACAAAAGTGAATACAAATTTAATATAATGGCTCTTAAAACTCCACATTTCTGATCATTACTATCTGGCTAATGGCATAAAAAGACAGGGGTCTATCGAGAAGCAAACTCCTCTGAATTCAGTGGGATTCGTGTTATTTCCTCAATCCCTAGGAAATGCTAATCTTGACCCATCTTCAAAGATAGGACAGCAAGAAAATAGGAGTGGGATCTGAATGAAAAAAATATTTCTTTGTTCCTTAGTTTCTGTAGGCAGGGGAGAGTTTTTAAATTAAAATCTTATAGAGACAGGATTGTAACTTTGTGCTTCAAAGGTAGAATATAACAAAACCAATTAAAACACTTTCTAACCATTTATTTTAGATTTTGTATACTGCTGCAATTGCTAAGATTATGGGCAAAAAGCACAAAAAGAAACACTACTAAGAACAAAATATGAAACAATATTTAATACAATACTATGGGTGAAGGCCTGTGAGAATAAAAAAGTTTTGAGGGTCTTTCTAAATAAAGAGAGAGGGGAGCCAGCTGTACTGCAGGCAGAATATTCCAGAGTTGTTATACCATCTTTGCATGTCAGATAATATTTCTGCAATAACAGGATTTTGAATTATTTCTATTCTGTATTCTATTATCTTAGGACCAGGGTTTGCAACCTTCTCTATAACAATAATATCAGGCTAACTAGTAAAACTAACCCCATCATCACTGCCGGTTTTTGCAGATGCACAATTGTGCATATATGGGGACAAAATGGCCCATGAACAGAGAACTGATGGATTTCACTTACAGTTGGAACACTTTGGTCTTCACAGTTGATAAATATAAAATAATGCTTATTATTGTTCCCCATCTTCTTTGAAAATTAAAACCAGATCGGCCATACATCAAGGATAGAGAGTCTGTTGAACGGCTTCAAGAGCCTCTGCTTGAAGTTCTGCAAAAATTCTGCAAGCTTCGTCACACAGATAATCCTCAACAGTTTGCATGTCTCCTTGGTCGCCTTACAGAACTGCGGACTTTTAATCACCATCATGCAGATATGCTGATGTCGTGGCGAGTTAACAATCACAAATTTACACCTCTTCTTTGTGAAATATGGGATGTGCAGTGATAAGACTGGATTTTATTGCATCCTAAACACAGGTACCTGGGACAATAGAAGTGACTCCATAATATCAGTGTATTCAGCTTCAGAGTCTTTGTATTAAATATTTTCTTAAAGCACTTAAAAGAATCCACAGTAAATCATCTTCACTGGAGTTTACATTTGTGACTGTTTACTAAACTTTATATAAAAGATTTTCACATAGAGTAACTGTGCTGGTTCTTAAGTTCCTTGAAACAAGTGAACTTTTGTTTGCCGGAAGCAAGTTCCTGTTCTTTCTTTTGAAATTAAATTAAAAATAAAGAAATTATTACAATTACTTCTTTTTAAAATTATTAGATCATTTCCACCTTTGTTCATCACAAACCACTCCTTCTAAATTAATAGATTGTGGGCTTTTTCACACAGCCAAGCTGAAGTGCTATCTATCAATCATAAACTATCGAAAACTATACTGGTATAAAATGTGCAATCTATCCTGCCATAGATAAAATGCTGGCAAATGCTGCTGTCCTTATGTGCAGGACATATTAAAGACAGAAATTGGTGGATTCCCTGGCTTTGCTTCCCTCCCTTCTCACCAAATATCACCAACTCATGGGAAAACTATCCACCAATCATTCTCCTTAATGTAGGATAAGGCTGGGAAGGATGGCTAGATAGGTGGCATTAGCCATCTTTCAAATCTTGCTCCAGTTTTGCACAAGTACATTCAGAGAAAGCCTGACTATTAGCTGATAGGGTACTTTTGGACACTGATTCAGCACTATTTAGAGTAGCTTCATTCTGCTTATACTACTGTTATACATGGGTTCAGCACTGTTCCAGAAGACCAGAAAACCCATATTCAAAATTAGGTTGAACAGTAGGTGAGAGGTACAGGGCCATTTGTATTGTGAAACAGTAGACAGCAAACTCTACATTTCCTGCATCACTAAGCAGTTTCACACTCACAGACATACATTGTTTCAGACCTCCAAATTGGGAATTGGCTCAGAAACCTAGTGGCCACAGGGCAGGAACACAATCTGAAAGAATCAGAATCTCCTATTCTCCTCAGAGAAGAATTACCATGGAAGGCAGTGCCCAGACTGGAAAATGACAGTTTTTCTGTGAATATAAAAATAGCTTTGAAGGGAATGCAGATCTAGTTGCCCATCAAAGGAAGTACCATAATATGCCAACTCTTTGATGACTCAAATCTGTTATTTTTAGGCAGAAGAAAAAGAAAACAATTGAATATGGTGCTGGAATTATTGTAATAGAACTAATAAGTAACTTTACTTGAAGTTAAGTGACTTATCAATTCTATCTCTACTGTTGAGACTCCCAGGTTGACTTTAGGCAAGGTACCATCTTTTGGTCTACTTTACAGGGCTACTGTGCTGGAGGAAACTGAAGTAGAAAATGCTCCATGCCTGTGTTTGTGAAGGATATGTGGGATAAAAATCAAATGAGTGAGTGAGTGAGTGAGTGAGTGAGTGAGTAAATAAATAAATAAATAAATAAATAAGGATCATCTTTCTGAAGAAGGGCCTCAAACTTGCTGCTCATTCCGTAGAGAATAAAATAGAGAATCCATTTATCTGGTTCATATACTGTGCAAGCCTGTGCTATACCGCGCCAATTGTGGCTTATTAAACATGGCCTAAAAACCAAATTCCTAAACTAGGCACTACCATATCCAGGCTGCAGAAATCCAGACAAATGCCAGCAAAGAGATGTGGAAAACTCCAGTGTCCAATTTTGCAGGCCAGATCTTGTATGCCCAACTAAGCCAAACCAATAATCCTATTTACTAAAAGAAAGATAAGATCAAATTTAACCTGATCCCAAAACGAATATGTAGGGGGAAAAAAAAAAGACAGACCACCCACACAATGCCCACCTTCCCCACTTGGTTAATCTACGTCTACCAACTCTAGCTGAAATCAGTCCTACAGATATGCTCCCACCCAGAAATGAATGCCTGTGACATACTTGTATATGCATATTCATACATACCTGCATATATCTTCCACAAGCCAAACTCCAAAGCAGGGCAAGGTCTGGACAAATAAATACATCCATATTAACTGGATTAATCTCAGTTAACTCCAATTAACTCCTTATAAGGAATCCCATTTATAAAATTAATGGACCCCCCATCTGCAGAAACTAACCATTATCCGCACATTCCCCTCCTTTCTTCCAAAAGAGCAAAGAAGAAAGAAATAGAATGGAGATAAGTTAAGGGAAGAGAATGAAAAGAAATGGAAGAATAGCATAGAGATGAGGGGAGGAGAGCAAGTAATTTGGCAAGGAAAGAGAAGAAAAATCCTATTGAAATATTAGAAAAAGGGTTAAATCTCCAAGCAAACACTCTTTCCAAAGCAATAGCAAACTTCAAAGGCATCCATATTGTTCAACAGTAAGGTCTGCATCTGTGGAAATTTACATTTCCTGATTATTTTAAATGCTTCTCTTTGTCAAATACAAGTTTAATATTTCCCTTCCTATTCACTTGGGGAAAAATATAAACTTTTTTTTCTACTGTTAGATAAAGTAACTCTGTACATAAAGCAACATGGTGTGTGTACCCAGACTGGTTGGTATCAGTGCTGACTCTATTCTCCTAAATGAAGAATATTTTTTTTCTGGTTCATAGCAGTGACATAGGTGGTGCACATACCACACTACACCACAGCTTGCTTAACCATATTTTTCAACCAATTCACAATTGGCCAGGTTTACAGAACATGTTAAACATACCAGAGTCTCAACATACTAGAGTTGAGACACAATTACTTTTTCCCACTGTATGCTAAATTAAATTCTGTGGTGGGTTAGCCTTGTCAGAGCAGAGGGTGAAGGAACTGTGTTGATTTGGGCCCCAAAGTTTCCTATAGTAGAGTGAGTTCCAAGTAGGCTGTGTCTGCACAACACACTAAACCATAAACCATGAGTAACAAACCACAACACTTGGGTCCACAACCAAACTAAACCAAAGAAATAAAACTACGTAACAACTTAATGCTAGTCAATACATGATAAAGCACAAGAGGCTTTATTCCACACTGGCCTACCCAGTGCATTTATTAACCAAGGCTTACAGTTTACCGTGTTGCAAGCACAGCCATAAAATACTTGTTTGAATAGTCTTGTGTTGCGACATGCTTTATATGGAGGGATAAAGAACCTCTGATGGTGCTTCTGATCCGTTATTCTGTCTCCACACTGACTTTACTGGTTAGGGCTGCTGGGTGGTGCCACCTCCACGCTCAGCGCTCTCTGCTGTAGAAAGCTTTTTTCCAAAGAATGCAGAGGAGTCTTAAATCATAGCAACCGCGCCCTGATTCCAAAACAGGCTGTAGAGGTAGGCGAAACCTCAGCAAGGCTGCCGCCATCTACGCGTACCCCCTGCCTTCCCGGCTGAGGAGGCCCCCATCACCCGCTCGAGACACCAATCCGCGGAGGCTGTCACCTGACGCTACGCAGCAGGATCGCCCCCAGGACCGCTGCAACCCTTCCGTTTGAATCCACGCCGAGCACCAGCGCCG